TCTCTATGCCAAATTTCATCAAAATCGGTTCAGTGGTTTGGGCGTGAAAGCAAGACAGACAGACAGAGTTACTTTCGCATTTATAATATTAGTATAGAAGTATAGATTTATCACAGAATAAATCATCCACATATTGGACGTTTCACAAGTTAACAGTTTCATCAAAATCCGTTCTGAATTTTTTGCGTGAAAGATGGATCAATCCTCACAAACATTCACATTTAAATATTAGTACATAGTAACTACAATCTAATTGACATGGCACAATCGTATTGGCTTATTATATACACTGCTAGTAAACATTGCGTGACACGGCCTATAACTGCTATAGCTCACCGATCAACACGACACGACACGCTCTGTAGTTAGGGTTGCCAACTATACTGTTTTGAACAGTATTATAATACTGCTTTTCACTAAATTATACTTTTTACTGTTGAACAAAAATAAAGTATACAAAATACTGTTTGCATTTAGTTAGTCAGAACGATATGCATTTTAAACAATAAATAAATAAAATACTGTTCATTTTTATAAAATACTGTTTTATATTCTTCATAGACCAGAATAATTATACTTTATTTCTAGTAGAAAAAGTTGGCAACCCTATCTATAATACTCGAACACCATTGCTCAGCCCTAGATCTAATTGGACGAATATAATCGCCTCAGTATTGATACTAACTTATTTACGACTCTCTATGCGCTTGTAAACTAGTCATAAAATTGATGGTCACATAAATGTCCACTTGATTTAAGAGCGTTTACGTCTAGCGTGGCAAGTCAAGTTTAGGTAATTTCGATGCTATTTTTATTCACACTAAAATAATTATGACTGTGTGCGTGTTCTCACGCTCTATAGTCAAACCAAAATACTTTGATCCACCATGGTAAAAGTGTGCCAGGCTGTCAAGTGACAGCCCAAAGAAACTATAAAATCTTCAAATCTTCCAACACCGACTCCATAATTATAAATAATGGTATACATTAGTCCNTGTGTGGACTTATCTTGATAGAATTCTTGAATACTAAACTAATCGCAATATTTTCTCAATTAACTATTTAGACGACGAAATTGCCTAACTATTTATGCCTATAACATATTTGTAGTATTACTGGTTAATGATTGTAACGAGTTGAAAAAGTACTGTTTTTGCGCCAAACGGCGTAAACGCTCTTAATAATAACTTGATCGTGGTAATTGATTTTCAAGACGAATTTGACCCTTATGTTAAACCCTTTGTCATTTTTTCTGATCCTGTAAAATTATATTTCGAGTAAATTAGGGTTTATCCTGAACATGTTTATTTATCAAGAAATATTGTCTAAGGCCTGATTTTTCAATAGCCGGATAACTTTTTACTGAAGAATAAGTTTGGCATATTGACAGTTTCAGTACGAGAAATTTGTCAAAATGACAGTTCTATTCTTCAGTTAAAACTTAACCAACAATTGAAAAATCAGCCCTAAATGAAAGATAACATGTTATATCAGGGTTTATTGATATTTATTTATGTTTATATTTGTTTACATTGTAAAAAAGTTGGTAGGTATTTTATGAAAAAATAAATACTCTCGAGAAAATTTTTATTTACATACTAGCTTTCCGCCCGCGGCTTTGCCCGGAGTTTTCCCGGAAATTACTTAAAAACCATCCTTGGACTTAAACGAATATAAAAAAATAATAATTGGTAAAATTGGTCCAGGCGTTGTTGAGTTATGCGCTTTTATATGTATAATAAGATTGGCCAAGTCACTTTTTACTGTTCTACAAAACTTCAATGAAAACTCTTCAGTCTACATTTTAATAATAAATCTGTGAGCACTCGTACCTACTTTAAAAAGTTTTCTTTCCTTCTTCTTTCACTCGTACCTACTTTAAAAAGTGTTTTGTCTAATTTTATTACCAATTTTGGTTTATTTCTGACCCTACCTTCAACATCACTGTGCGCATCCACAAAGTTATAGTAGTAAACGCATCTCATAAACCGATGGTAAGCTCTATAGGCAAGGGAAAGTATACGGCAAGTATCCCCGTTTACTGTTGGGTCACCTCAATGGCCGATCTGCTATCGGAGACTGAGCTATTTGGTTTTACGAGCACCGGACCCTGGGGTACGCTTTTTTGTAAAGAAATGCGTACTGGTTGAGTTTTAAGTTCTGTATATTAGTTACTTGCGACCCGCCCTAGCTTGGCACGGGTGGTAAGCCTATACATAAACCTTCCGCTTGAATCACCCTATCTATTAAAAAAACCGCACCAAAATCCGTTGCGTAGTTTTAAAGCTCTAAGCATACATAAGGACAGACAGAGGAAAGCGACTTTGTTTTATATTATGTATTGATTTATAAATACAGATAGGGCTGCTCTATGAATGGTTTACATCAAGTATCTTTGGATACCTAATTAATTACCTTAATTCTGTTATTGGTATTGATAATTGTTTTTCATTTTATGCCATTTAGTACGAGTATATTGTTTTTCTTAAAATGAAAGCATTCCTGTTAGCCAAAGGACTTTATAAGTTTCAGTTTATATGCATAGTGCATTTTTGTATCAAACAAGACGCCCCAAAGACAATAACCTGAGGATTGCTTGGCACACTGTTGCTAAGCTTACGAGTATAGTAGATACCTATCTCTACACGGCATATTATTATGTTTAGCGAATTTTGAAACTTTCTATTTCATCCATGAACAACACGAATTTTGAGCACTAATTTAATTACCTACTACACTCAACCACTTCTACGATTTGACCTGAAAATGGCAATTAAATTGCCTACCTAATTGAAGACATGCGCAATTACCTGAATGAAATACGAGTATGTTAATAAATGCCTATGGTTAGATTATACACTAGCGCCTCGGTCCGGTATTGAAGTATGCTATTAGCTAGACGTATAATAATTCCAAGATAATGATATGGCGTGTTACTAATGGGAGCCAAGCGATGTCAATTTAATTATGTAGCAATTTGTTTTTAAACAAAATTTGTAGAGAATTTAGTATTCTACAATATTGATAATAAATACAAATAGCAAAAAACCCATAGGAAATGAGATATTTCCAAAAAAAGCGCAAAAAACCGATTTTTGTGACCGTTGACCTTGAAATTTAATAGTTGCTTACACCCTACCATATGTAGGTTTTGAGACAACTTTTAGGGTGTCAATATACACGTATTTACAGACTTACAGCTGGGTATCTCGGATTCCGAGGTGAACTTACTATAATGACTGGACTAATTAGATAGTTTTTCCGATAGAGGCATGAATGACGTCCATGGCCGCTCAGACTGACCTTTAGCAACTAACTACCCACACGGTATAAGAAAAAGAGATGAATAGAAAGATCTTATATCGGCCTCCCTTGAGAACTTTTTGTGTTTTATTGGAATAAAAGTCTATATTCGTATCAGCTTTGTTTAGCTGGTAAAGTATGTCTACAAACAACATGAAACATACAAGGAAAAGCAAACATGCTTTATAAATATGTTTTTTAATACGTATTACTAGCTGTGCCCGCGACTTTATACGTGTGAAAATAGTTTGACAAATATTGCCCGTTTTTGTTACATTTTTTCTTTACTGCTTCGCCCTTATTAGCTGTAGGGTGATGTTATTACAGCCTGAATAATAATAATAATTTGTCTTTTGTCGATTATTTTGCGCTTAAAACGGCCTCTACGTGTTGGATCTGTATCCCCACGCAAGCCTTATAAAGGACCGGGCCACTTTTGACCCGTGAGCTCCAAAGCGTACAAACATAATAATAATAATATCCTTGGACATTTTACACTGCGCCTCTAGTGCCAAACTAAGCAAAGCTTGTACTATGGGTACTAGACGACGGGATAAACATACTTAAATACTATTTTTTTTTTGTAAATACATACATATTATACATAGAAAACACCCAGACCCGTCACAGAAATTAAAATTCATCATTTCAATTTCTGCCCGGCCGGGAATCGAACCCGGGACCTCTCGGCATAGTAGTCCGTTCTGAACCACTACACCAAACGGCCGACAATGAAGCCTTCCGCGATAAATGGGCTATCCAACACAAAAATAATTTAAATCGGACCAGTAGTTCCTGAGATTAGCGCGTTCAAGCAAACAAACAAACTCAGCTTCTTCGGCTTTATAATATTAGTACCTATAGATAATCCACGTCTTGTGGAGGTTCGATTTTATATGTCCAAGATATGATATAACCATGCGTTTCCTTTTTTACCTTAACTTAATCACAAGATCGATCAATGTTACCTGCGAATCTATGGTGACATTGAAATATTACCTAATAGACATAATTTCTCTGTTCGTAAGGTATACTTTTCATTAGGTTTAAAATAGCGGGTTTGGAACGCAAGGCGGTTTTCAACGAATACTAAACTTTTACCAGTTGTTATTCTATAAATCATCGCAAAAATGTTCCAAAACTATAGTGTAATTATAAAGCATAATTTGGTAGGTGTGATATCCACACGAGAAATACGGAAAAATGTTTTTATCTGGTTATAGCCAATCAATAGAGACTGCGTAAGTTATCTCCAAATTCCCATCACCATGTCCGCTGCTTTAGCGGCGGCGGAAGTGTGATTGAATACATAATGCGTGCTTTATGCAAAATAAAACATCATTAGCCGAATATCGTAAACACAGGGAAAGTGTTTATAAATACATCTGTCAAAATCTGCCCATCTCAGTTAAGACATTGGCCACAAGATGATCGGATCGGGGACTTGTGTTTTGGTTGGTCCTAATAATTTTTCGCTTTATGCCATAAGCTTTTAAATAGAAATTCATTATACCGGGCTATCCCTTATAATTTGAAACAACGTGCCTACCTTTTTTAAAAGCTCATTAAGCTGTACGCAAAAACAATAGAAAGTTAATTGTCTCTAAATACCAGCGGTTTTGTAATCCCAACGTTATTTTCGTTTAGTGAAAGTGATGGGTGTTTATGGTTTGTACTAATTAATTGTTATTTTTTAGGTTGTGGCTTTTGCGTCACTGGCCCAAGCTGAGAATGGATATGGGTACCAGGCACCCGTGCTATCATTGCAGCAGCAATTACCACAGATAGGTCAAAGCAATAACTTTAATGCACAGCAGTCAGTCTCACACTCGGCGATTCAGAACAACTTTATCAGTACATCTAACGGGCAGCATCTGCTGAACAACCATCATAACTATTACTACAACGGGTTTGGAAACAATGTCCATGGATCAGTCCCTAATATTCAGCCCCAAAGTCCCGTGAACATTCCGCCACCGCCAGTGCAGGCGATTGTCACGAAACATATCTATTTCCACGTCCCACCGCCTGACATCGAAGACCGACCTGTTCAGCGACCAGTGACAGCCAACAGGAAAAAGTCTTACAATATTGTATTTATCAAAGTGCCTTCTCAAGAAGTTCCACGCAATCTGTATGCAGCAGTAGAAGACAGAACCCTTATTTACGTGCTAGTGAAGAAACCTGCAGATGAATCACAGGTTTTGAGGAAACCATCGCCGCCTAACCATGAAGTGTTTTATGTGAAGTATAAAGGAAATACAAACAACGTAGTGTCACAAATAAGCAGTGGTGGTGTACCACAACAAAATTTCGGGCCAAGTTTAAGACCGGGACTTATAAATGGTCAGTAAAATGTTAAATACCTAGTCGTGATAAGGTAATAAATTAATCTGGCTTATCTATTTACCAAAAAAGTGAAGATTATTATCATTCATTTAAGTAATAAGTACAATAATAACAACAACGAAAATCAATTATGGGATTTCGTTGTTGCTTAATCTATTTTATTAATTAGTGGAGACGTATTATTTATTACATGTATGAATAGTTTTTGTGAAATAAAATGGATTATTGTTGTTATATGCTTTGCGAATTGTTGGTATAATAACCTACTTTATTTTAATAGCTCTGTCTTATAAAAAATATTTGAAAAAGTGCGCTTCTGTTCTGTTATCAATGTCGATATCACTTCTACAATACATCCGACTTGTTCATAAAGGTACCTCATCTGAAAATAAGTTGGTTAGTCGTGCTTGACTGTTTAGAATAGATACATCACGTAATCGTAGCGATCAATAAGAATTTATTTTACACCTCTGCTTCGGTGAAGAATGCACTAATAAGTAGATTACACAAATACTTAGGTAAAAAGGCCTTTTAGTAAATTAGTTTTTATGTTAGGTATCTACCTACTATAATCTGTAAACTATCTTTTACGATGACTTTTTCTAATCGGATGTGTTGATAAGGTTGGTATTTACTATGTAGGTAAGTATGTAAGTTTTTCAGTATTTCCCGAATGTGTTATACCTACAACAGTTTATCCATACAAAGCAGTATGTTCAGCACACAGGCCGTTTAATAAAACCTCTATCAATGAGTTTGATTTGAAAATGGTTTGAGTGTTTGAATTTAATATTGTTATAAACAATCACAGACTTGGGTAACGAGTTTTGATTGAAAAAGGTCGATAGATGACAGACCTTTTTCACAATCTAGCAGTACTCCGTGAAAATATTGCGGTAATTTGAACAATGAAATAGGTCTATCAGCCTTGTGCTTTTAAATAAAAATGTATATTTCAATATTTTCAATCAAAGCTCCTAATGTAAATGTAAGGTTACAGTAGAATCATAGCAAATCGTTGTCAGAACCATGTGAAAAAGGTACGTTGGTAGGTGAGTAGTTCGCAGTGCCTACAATAGATGGCGCTACCTGTTCCCAGATTGCGTACTTTCACTAGAAGTTTGTTGGATCGTCGAAATACAAGTAAATATTACTAGTTTAGATCAGCAAAATCACAGATCATCAAAATATGTTATAAATATTTTAGGTACTTCATTGTCTTTTAGTTCTGCCTACATCCAGAGTTTTTCGAATGTTAGTTTAAAAACTTAGTAGGTAGGTATCGAAAACCAGAAGAATATAGGTACCTACATAGCGTGAATAAGGAGCTACCTGAATCAAATAGGTATTTAAACGGATTTTTTTTTTACTTAAAGGGAGTACTTTTAATAAGCGACTCTATGTTCTAACCTTAGATTAATAAAACCTAGATAGATAGTCAGTGCACGAAAGGTGAGGCAGATTTTAGTGAGCCAGAATGGCTTACTCGTAAACGTCACATGAACTGTCAAAGTGAAAAATTGGTATTTTAAACACGTCCGACGACTTTTAATTAATTAAGACGGTTTGTGCTGTGAAAGGGTGTCTAAATACATCAGAAAAACTAAAGAAAGTGACCAGTGTTACATTTCATAAGTAGGTAAGTACTACGACTCGACGCGTATTTTGCTTGAATTTGGCTTTCAAAAATTAAATACGGGAATGATACCAGTAACAAGAAAATTTATTTCCCAATTGTTCATCGTACAAATACACTTCCTTTTTTATGAAATCGAGACTTTTAAGTCGATTTATCTTATTGTAATTAGGTAGGTACTTAGTCAGTGAGTCAGTGAGTGACAAAATTAAGTAACTTTGACCCGTTATAATTCTTAAACTACTGGTTCAAATTGAATGAAATTTTAAATATACCGTGTCTTTACAATGCCTGCATAGCTAATGAAAATTCAGCCTTCTAGTTTTATCCACAACGAAGTTACAGGCGGTCGAAAATGGCCTGAATTGCTTCGAGAAAAGGATGGTACGGCCGTGCCGCTTTTTTGCTCGACTTGGTGGGGGCACTGCCGTGCCCCCAGATAGTGTACTTTGGACTGAGCGACCCCGCTTGTATTAGGTAGATGCTTTCCAAATAATCAGCACTATTAGTATTATTTATTACTCGTATTAAAAATACTATTATAGTATATCTTATCTAAAATATGGTACTTATTTCGTCATGTTCTTATTATTATCAGTAACCGAACGAGCCATCAAGTTACCGGTCCAGTCAATGCCTGAGGTATGGAAGCGGCCACGGGAGATTGTTTTTGTAACGTCAAATGTCAAAAATGTCTCAAATGTCAACGAGACTTCAGATTTCCTTCAGAATTATAATTATGCTCTGTGACGTCATGATATGGCTGATTTAAGCGCTAGACTTTATAACGTTGTAGCCTCTTAAGTAGTTGTAATATGGACTATCTTACTTCTTACTAATATGTATTATAAATGCGAAAGTTTGTATGGATGTCTGGATGTCAACATGTTTGTTACTCTTTCACGCAAAAACTACTGAACGGATTTTGATGAAACTTTACAGTATTATTGTTTATAACCCAAAATAACGTATAGGCTATAATTTATGACGATTCTGTGACAAACTAAATTTCAGGCGGGTGAAGCCGCGGGCAAAAGCTAGTTTTGAAATAAAAACGTCACCTCCACATTACAACCTTAATAGAAACAGATAGATAGAGACAGATACATTTAATATCGTTTGTTGGCCAATTTGAAAACGATTTTTTAATGTTTACGAGAAATTCAATGGACACATTTTCTTTTTTCAATTTTTTTTCTGTTTTCTGTCAAGCGCATCCCCAGGTGGCTGTTAGAAGTAACAGGGGGGCCCATCGCTTGTCGATACAATTAATAAGACTGGAGATGACGATGTTTATGGATTGAATAAGGATATTGGTCAAAAGAATTCGCTTCAATAAAAACAGTTGCACTGAAAAAGTTAGCGCTATTATGTCGCGGGAAATAATGCTTCTAACGCCCGTATTTACAAACGATGCTTGCTTAAGTGAAGGAGAAAATCGAATGCACAGCTTTGAATAGAGCTCTGTGATTGGTTCGGAATGGTTCGTATGTCGTCCCTGTGCGTTCACGCTCACTGTGAGACCTCATAGTAATGTTGTGAATACGGGCGAAAAGATTGCTGTTAATATGTACATTGGCCTGGCCAACTAGCCATAGCTACATTTCTCTATGGGTCATTCCATAAAAATCTGTATATTTTCGACGTCATTTTGTCCGTAACTTTTTTAAGATGCTTTTGAATAGTTTATTAGTGTAAATTATTGTTTATTAATTAATTATGTTATGTCTAAAAGGGCCAGTCATTTTATGCTTTATTTTAGGAGAAATTATAATTTTCAATTTTTTCATACTACATTACTCCTATATGACTTCTAATAAAGTATAAAACTTTTAACCTTAACATTTATAGATAAGTTAATACACATAATGTAGTTGTTTTGTTATTATCACTATATAAAAAACATCATTCCCTAACTAGTAATTTACTCCCAAGTGCCATTTAAAGTTAGGGCCTGACGCTCTAGGGACTGACGATTTGGAGTAAAACTTAACACAAATGCAGATTAACTTTATATTATAAGAATGCTTAATACCATGTGCCGAAAATAGCCAAAAAACTACACGTAAATACTATTAAATTATATACAATTTCCTATTATAATCAATACAGCTACTCAACTAGGGACTGACGAAGTGACTGGATTAACACATGTTTCGGTAACAACTGTCACGTTTGCACTAATTCAAAAAACGGCTACCGCAAAGCCAGTATGGTCTGAGGATAACTTCGTATCGTACTTTAAACTCAACTAAATGTCATTCACTCTAAATACATATTAAAGCGCAAAATTATAAAATCAGTGCGTGGCGAGGGAATGACGCTAAAAACTGTAGACTCTTTTTCAACTAAAGAAAATCAAATTATTGTTTATTGAAACCGCAAAATATTAATAGAATTTGGTGTAATATACATTTAAATAGATTATTCGTTAATTAAAACAAAGGATAAAGTTGATGTTTTTATAAATGTGGGTCCCAAAACACAAACTTTTGGAGTACGGACATGCCTAGGGAATGACGTTTTGGGTCATTCAAAAGGAATTTAAGATGTTTTAAAAATAGTTTCAAAAAATATAAATGGGTGATGAATAAAGCACATTGCGAGCTGTTATTTAACAATTTTGGAATAAAATATTAACAAATATTTCATGTGAAATGTGGCGCGGACTAAGAGTTGACATATTTTTGTGGAATGACCCCTTACTTATATTAAGTATAAAGCTGATGAGTTTGTTTATTCGCTTGAACGCGCTAATCTCAGGAAAGACTGGTCCTATTTGAAAAAAATATTTTCAAATAGGACCAGTATTAGTGATAGTCCATTGACTATCCAACACAAAAATATTTATCTTTAATATTTAATCTTCCTCGATAAATGTATCGAGGAAGGATTTAAGGCTATAAACATCACTCTACAGCCAATAGGGGTGAAGCAGTAAAGAAAAATGTTGCCAATACTTAGTTCGTGTCACCCAAAGTGGCCAAAACCTTGACAATACAAGAATACAACCTTATTCCTATTGTAATTGTAAGACGTGTTGCGAGCTTTGGGTGTAACGAAATATTTGACGCTGAAGTAACAATGTGTTTTTAAAAAAGTTCCCGAGACAAAATGTATCCGAATACAAAATAGCATTAATTTTATTAATTGCTTCAGCAATCAGCATCAGCACTGCGAACGGACGAAAATATTTGCTCTTTTGCTGAATTAGCACCAACTTCATTAATGAGGCCACCCGACTCTATCAAGATTTTCATATAAAAGACAGCTAAGGATATTAAAAATAGATTCAAGACGTTTTACATTTTTTTGAAAAGGTACGTGTAATGTGAGATTTAGGTTAGATATCTTTCAGCTAATCAAGTT